ACACACACACACACACACACACACACACACACACACACACACACACACACACACACACACACACACACACACACACACACACACACACAAAGCCCGAAAGACAGGCAATAATTTATGTGCAATTTTTGGAAAAACGATCAACTGTTCTTAAAAGGAGGCATCCGCTATACAGAAGGACTTGAATTTAGTGGTTGTGGGGTTTGACTCCAATCATCTCTCTCTGACCTCATCACATATTCTCTCCATCTCCGTAATAACCCCGATAGCCAATCAAAAATATCTCCTTCGCCTCGGCTCCCCATTCTGTTTCCCTGGCAACAGCGGCCATCTTGCCATGCTCCATTGATCTTCGGCAGATCGTAGCCAAATTACAGGAAGGTCTTATACACGGGATGACAGAAAAAGAAAGGAAATTTCATTTTCTAAATCATAATTTGATGATATGAACTGCTGAGTTCACACAATTCTTTCTGGGAGAGATAGACAACCTCGGAATTGTTTGGCTTTTTAACTAATTATGGACATAATGCGACCAGAATGAATAATTTCCAGAGTTAAACTGTCAACTAACATAAAGGCTTTATTAAAACAGTCACATAATGCAGTCTGTATTTTTGTATACAGTACTGCAAATACATTAAGTATGCAAGATATTTTATCAGAGCTGTACCAGAATTATCGGACCGATATTGGGCAAAAAAAATGACATCATATTCATTGGTACCGATATCAACAAAACTGGACTGATAACAAAGAGATGTCGCAAATACACAAACAACGGTCTGGTTACTGTCAATTTAAGAATGTCAAAGGCCATCCTTTGAAGTCTCTGACAGGAGAACTTGTTTTAAACTACTTGTCATTTGTTTTTATCAAGCTGTTGGTTTCATAAAAGTTTTCAGACAGTCACTACTACAGTGCTAAATAAAAGAATGAAGTCCATCCTGATAAATCATTTGATATCTACACCTGTATTAGGGCTGGGCGATATATCGTTATCGCGATATATACATTCAAGATATTAACATTGAAATTAGGATGATAACAGCCATGTGAACTTGCTGCGATTCTGTTGCGTGTAAAGCTCAAGTCCAACCAACCATTCCTCTGGTCAAGTAAAGCCAGCCAATGACAATCATCTTGTGGAGGGTGGGATGGACCAACTGAGGGAGACACACACAGCCGCTGCTAGACAGCATAAACACACGAAAACTCCATTTCCGTGTTAGCGATAGTTGCAAGACATATCCATGTGCTGTGAAGTATTTACGGTACACATGTATTGCGTTTTAGAACATTATGTGACCATATTTATAATTTCACATGTAGCAGTGGATAAAATAGCAGCGCTTGTTGTATAAAATGTAGAAGCAGACTGCGCTTTGCCAGTCCATTGAATTGAATGTAAAAGAGCCTTGCCTTTCAATATATTTCACATGATTATGGCCCACGTCCTATTGCTGTAGCAACTTGTGTCTTCTTTTTGTGGAATTCAAAAAAGTAATTCAGTGCGACTTATCGTATGCGGACCCTCAAAATGTGATTCAGGCTAGCATAGTTCATATCGCTGAGAGTCCACACATCACATCCCATCGCCATGTAATGATTCAATACATACAAAAGTACTGTCATGGGTGAGTGGTTAACTTTTTTTTTTTTTTTCCAAGCCACACAACAAATCCATACACATTCTGAACCACTTATCCTTACTCCTGTTGTGCATGGACAAATTGGTACAGAACAACACACACTTTGATGCAGTTCACACACACATGCATGCATGCAAACACAACAAACTCTTCTGTTGAGCTGGTGCTTTTCAACGTGAAAATGTCCTCCGAATTCAGAACTTTTTGAAGACGAAGGAATCCCTCCTCCAGCCTACTCTGTGGTGTGCCAACCATTATGTTCAGCTTTTTCTTTGAAAATGTTTACCGATGAGCCGGTACTACAAAGGAGGAAGTTTATACATTCGGCAAGATAATTTAACTATTGCAACATCTAAAAGACGAAGCCAGTATGTCCGTCTTTGTCTTTCTCGCTCAGTTCAGCGGTGAGTCACGAAGCTGCGCTCTCACTTCCTCTCTCCCTCTGTGTCCATGCCAGGCACCCGGCAAGAGGGTGACTGTGTTGGCCACTCCGTCACGAAGCTTTGTGGCAAAATTTATTCTCATCCCACAGATGGTAGTATATGCTTGTCATTATTATCATGTTTTTTATTGGCTGTCTTTTGTTTTCATCAGCTCAAATTTGTTGCATCTGCAGCAGATATTGAGATAATAAAGACTTGTTGGGTTGAGTGTGTCAAAAAAAGGCGTGCAAGGCTATGTTCACATGGATGTGCATGGATTGTGATCATTCAATGAGATACAGTAATCCCTCGCCACTTCGTGATGAAGGTTTTGTGGCTATAGTACTTCGCTGGTTTTTCCAAAATACTCTATTCATTAAAAAAGAAAGAAAGAAAGAAAAATACAGCCATATCGGTAGGCATATTGCGGAAGGACGCCGTGTTTCTTGTTGATGCGCGAGAGGGAAGCTTTCCCTGCCAAACAAAGCTGACGTGATTCAGAGGCTTTGTACATGTCTGTACTGTACTTTACCATACATGCCACGGGCACACAGACAAGGTGCGTCATGAGTTCCCTGTGCGACATCGACCAATGAGCGCACAAGTGCATTTATCCTGTGAGCTTAGTATGCTGCGGATCATCGCAACCTCACGTAGCATCTTCCCTTTGTTGTGCCCCGTCACGTCGTTGCGCTCCAGCCCCTTGCCACTGTGAGTGGGGGCATCTAAGCCCGCTCATTCCTCCTCGGAAATGGCACCATCAATAGGGACACATTGCTTCAGCGGTGGCGGGGGGGGCGTCTGTTCACAGTCTTGACCGGGTCTGGGAGCCTTATTTTGAAGGTTTCTTGACCCGGTCAGCTGTTGTCTTTTTTTTTTTTTTTTTTTGAAATGTCACAAAGAAGCAGTGACAGCTCAGAAACAGCCGAAAGCTAGATACGTTTTTTTTCTTCACTACAAAAAGACCATTGTCTGATAAAAAAGAAACCGTAAACTTATTTTAACTAATAAGAAGACAAGACGCATGTCATAGCGCTACCCACAGCATGTTTTTCTCCAATCAGCGACACCGTCAGCACTTCCAGCAGAAGCGTGTCCAAGTGAACCTAAAGCCTGTCCGAGTCAAGTGAGAGCCGCCTTCTATGCCACCAATGCAAGCCTCTTCGCCTCTCAGAAGGCAAGTTTGATGAATGTTATTTACTGTCTTGAGTTGTTTTTTTTTGTTTGTTTTGTTTTTTGTTTTTTTTTTAGGTTTAACAGTAGCGTCGCTGGAAGACTTGGATGCACTCCCAACATGTTTTGGGGCAAGAATATAAACAGTGTTGAAAGGCATGTTTTGCGTCAATTATTTCTTCCGTCTTTGCTTTAGTTGTTTCATTATTAGCTAGTACAGTGGTTCTTAACCTGGGTTTGATCGAACCCTCGGGATTCGGTGAGTCAGTCTCAGGGGTTCGACGGAGCCTCTGCCATGGAGGGTAAGACACACCCGACTCAACAAGTCAATTAGTTATAACACGCCCGCTTGGCCATCACTGGCTGCAGATGATCATATTACATTGCTTGTCCAATCAGTGCTGTGGGAAATTTAGTTCGCTAAGTAGTCAACATGTGACTGTCGTACAAAAAATAATTATAATAAAAAGTATACTTACCTTTTGACATTTTGTTTACTTTATTCTGTTTTTAATAAATGCGTTTTTTTTAATATATTGAATTTGTAAAAAACATACATATTTATTTTTTACTCATGAAGGGTTCGGTGAATGTGCATATTAACTGATTGGGTTCGGTACCTCTACGAAGGTTAAGAACCACTGAGCTAGTGCTAGTATTTTACTCAGTTTGCTATGATAAGTTTGGTTTTGATGTGACACCGTGATTGTGCATGACACGTTAACGAATGACTTGCTAACACTTTTCAATGTGTGGGGTATGAATAAAACGTAAGCTTGTTCTGCTTACAAAAAACCAAAGTGCAATTGTCTTCACTGCCTCATGAGCACCACATTGAGTATAAATCAATCAATCAATCAATCAATCAATCATGCTGGTACCCACTTTCGCATACACGAAATTTCCAAATGGGGGGGACAAATCCTACTTGGTGGGTTTTCACCTTTCACAGGGGGCTCTGGTCCCCATTAGCTGCGAAAAACGAAGGATTACTGGATTTCTTTTTGTCTTCATAGATAACTTCAAAGTATTAGTTCAACTCAGCGCCGTGTATAGTTTTTAAAATGCACTTAACATTTTCAGCTAAAAATGTTGAGGCCACAGTTTCGCATTCAATTTAAGTGGCTCCATCAATTAAAACACTCTCGATGCACTCAAACCAAAGATTTTAAGTAACAGTCAGGAAGAATTATTTTTTCAACCTGGACTCCACCTGGAGGATTTGAATTATAATTTACATTTAAGCCACTGCGGTCAATAGAAATACACAGTGTTAAATCTGCATTTATAGTGAAACCCAGTCCAATTCTTACACATGAAAATCATTAAGTCCAAGTAGAGATCAACAATGAGTGATGACCACCTTGCTGCTTGCCTATCCCTGGCAACCAGCTGCTCAACTCTTGACTAAGATAGCCTCCTCCTCCCAGTGTCAGGTTTCATGCTAAGGTCGGAAGTGATTTCCTTTTTTTTTCCCCCAAACTCAGAGATCTACATGTCTTGTATTTGGTTTATGTTTGGGTTTGGTTCACATTAAGGTCAGTTATGGCTACTGCTCATCATGCAGATTAGTGTGTGTGTGTGTGTGTGTGTGTGTGTGTGTGTGTGTGTGTGTGTGCTTGCACGTGCGCGATCGGGTCGTTCGTGGGAAGTTGGTCGCTTCAAAAGTCGATCTTTGGCCAAAAAAGTCTGTGTGTGTGTGTGTGTGTGTGTGTGTGTGTGTGTGTGTGTGTGTGTGTGTGTGTGTGTGTGTGTGTGTGTGTGCGCGCGAGGAAGTGTATGATGTCGATCTTTGCAGTAACACAGTAAAAAAATTGGCTCTTTGTCTCTGACTGGTTGGCCACCCCTGCGCTATAGTGATGAAAATGTTACAAGAAACATTACATTTCATTCAGCACAATCCTCTCAAAACATTCTGAACAGTAATTGCTTTGTTTTGCTAGCTTGTCAGCTGAAGACATCCGGTTTTGACCTCAAAAGATAAGCATGAACAAAAAAAGAAAAAAATCCAACAAATCTGCGTTTACAGTATTTACAGGTAGGGTATTTCAATCTGAATCTAATCTACAATTGAGAAGGTATCCCTTCGTATCGCAGAGGGGGGCACGTCAGAAAATGTTCCCGGTTTTTCATTCTTCATTCGCCAGCAGCTCGGCCAGATGTCCATCATCGTCAGCCCGTCACTCCGTCATTGTTATTTTAACCACTCCTCCGTCATTATATTTCGTCACCTCTAAGTTTGGATCGTACCTTGTCGGTCTTTTGGGGGCGGCGCAGTGGTGACAGCCAATCGACTCTGAGAATGAACTATCAACTATTTGCATTGTCCAAGTCAATCTCCTCACTTAAAACCTTTTGGGCAGGGGTGCCTAACCTTTTATGATCTACTTTTCAGGCAGCTAACCTCCTGAGATCAACCAGTTCAGTTTCAAGATCGCAAACCCACATGCCTTTCCCAGCCTGTACTATTCAGTTCTCGCAAGCCAAGGATTTGCACTTATGCCTTATTCATGTTCATCTAGGCCTTCCAATAATTTTACTCACCTAAAATGTGGTGCAAATTGTTGATGCTAAATTGTGTATCCAATCAGATGGAAATGCCTGGAAATAAAAGCTTAACTGTTAAGGTCTTATCACATACTCATTCAGTTATGTCAAATCCACATTTTTTGAGTGCCCTGCTAAAATATTTCAATGGGTTAAACTGTTCCAATACTTTTGGAGAGGAGTGAGTTAACGCATCACTGGCTCCCCATACATTTTAGAGTTCTTTTTAAGATCCTATTATTTGTTTTCAAATCTTTATGACCTCGCGCCACCTTACCTCTCTGAGCTCATTCGCCCCTACACACCTGCCCGGCCGGACCAGACATGAGTAGAAGTGCCAAGAACTAAGCGGAGGTTCAGAGGGGATGGAGTCTTTTCCGTTGCTGCGCCCTCTCTCTGGAATGACCTCTCACTGAACATTTGACAAGCCCCCCTCGTTGCCCATCTTTAAAACTCACCTCAAAACTCACTTGTATTCTTTGGCAATTGACTCAGCATGACTCAGACTTGATCTTAGTTTTACTGTTTGGTGCTTTCTACCGTCTTTCTTATTGATTTATTGCTTTATTGTTGTATATATGACATTTGCTCCATGTACAGCACTTTGTATACAACGATGGCTGTTTTAAAGTGCTCGATAAATACAGTTGAGTTGAGTATGTCTCAGGTTGGCGGACCGGATGAGAGTGGAGGACCAGGCGGAGGCTCAGAGGGTATTGAGACTTTTGTGTTGCTTGTCCCTCTTCTTTGACATTACCCCAAGTTGAGTTAAGTCTCTGCTGCTTGTGAGGGAATATGCCTATTTACCTTCATAGTAAGGTGCAACAAAAGAAATGGAGAAGGGTGTGTAAAATTCCTGTTGTGCTGTTGCCATTTAGCTGACATTCAAAAATCAGAGCTTCTTGAGTGCACCTCCAAGAAAGGCTTTCCAAGGTTGCATCAAATGAACTTGCCTAAATTCAAATTTAACTCAATAGATGTTAAACTTTCCTGGTTCAAAGTTGACGCATTAGTCTGAGTCGTAACCAAACATGTTTTTCAAACACTATTGGATTCATTGAGTCATCATCTTACATCATCTTCATTTTGCCAAATCTTTCTAAAAGTTCAATTATGTTCAATATGAAACTGATCCCACTGTGTGTTGCCCCTTAACACTTCTTTTTGCATCCCTCCACCTCTATTTTTAGCCCTGGGTTTCACAGATTAGGGGCCTATTTATAGACCTCCTTATGTTGTCTATTAAGAGGACTCTGTGAAGGAGAATGGCAGCATCACAAGGGTTCACACACCACCCACTTGGCACTGGGCCCAACCTCACTTTCTCCCACTCAAGCCCCCTCCGCAGCCAACGAAAATTGGGTGGCTGCTGGCCAGGAGCCCCAACCTTCAGTGAAAACTTTACCCACTGGAAAGAAGTTTACATCAACCCTGAGTGTATTTCAAAAAGACAGAAAAAAAAATCTGGACAATCACTGTATTATACATGAACATCACAAAAGAGAATTAAACAGCTCAAACAAGGGCCTCTCTTCCCTCTTATTCATTCATTCATTCATCATCTTCCGAACCGCTTGATCCTCACTAGGGTCGCGGGGGGTGCTGGAGCCCATCCCAGCTGTCTTCGGGCAGTAGGCGGGGGACACCCTGAATCGGTTGCCAGCCAATCGCAGGGCACACAGAGACGAACAACCATCCACGCACACATTCACACCTAGGGACAATCCAGAGTGTTCAATCAGCCTACCATGCATGTATTTTTTTGGAATGTGGGAGGAAACCGGAGCACCCGGAGAAAACCCACGCAGGCCCGGGGAGAACATGCAAACTCCACACAGGGAGGCCGGAGCTGGAATTGAACCCGGTACCTCTGCACTGTGAAGTCAACGTGCTAACCACTGGACTACCGGGCCCTCTTAATCTAACAAAAATGCAGACGTGTACAATTTTTTCTTTTTTTCTTTAAAAAAAAAAAGGGGCATTACATAATTCACTACTCAGGCATTTTATCACAGAGGCATATATACAGCCGACTCACGCACACACACGCACAGACAAACAGCTGACATACCCAAACAGACAGGCAACCTGTTCGGGTTGTCGGCATAACAGTCGCTATGACAACAGAAGGAAAATAATCCCGAAAAAGCCACTCAAGAGGGGGCAGTCAGAGTAAGGGAGCGCTGAAGAGGGTGAAAGAGAGAGGGAGGGAGAGAACAAAATACAGCTGTGCCAATATGCGCACAGATTAAAAACAAACAAAAAAAAAAGGCAAAACTGTTAATTTAATGTTCTTATAACTTGTTATGACCTAAAAACCAAAAGACCACCTGCACGTTCCCTGAACATACAGTGTGGTCTTCCTAGTCCTGGTCCTGCACACATTTAAAAGGGCACATAAAGCCCCAGAAATGACAAATTCTAGTGCAATTTGTCTGTGTTAAACTGCTCGTGCAGTGCACGATACAATGGAGCTACCCATAAGTACAAAAAGCATCGCTGTAATCTAACAACATAATATGCACCTTATTCTCTGCATGCCAAACAAAAAGCTGACGTGGCTCAGAGGCTTTACGCAAGCCCACTCAAACAAGGCGCGTGATTGCTTCCTGGTGCGACATCAACCTATGAGAGGACGAGTTGATATAACCCATGAGCTGATTGGCTCCCCATCATTGCCAGTCTGCTGACCGGTTCGGATACTATATCCCTGGGCCTGCGTGGGTTTTCTTCGGGTACTCCGGTTTCCTCCCACAGTCCAAAAACATGCATGGCAGGCTGATTGAACACTCGAAATGGTCCCTAGGTGTGAGTGTGGGCGTGGATGGTTGCTCGTCTTTGTTTGCCCTGCGATTGACTGGCAACCGATTCAGGGTGTCCCCCGCCTACTGCCCAAAGACAGCTGGGATAGGCTCCAGCACCCCCCGGGACCCTCGTGAGGATAAAGCGGTTCGGAAAATGAATGAATGAATGAATGGATGAATGAATGTATGTATACACACACATAGTTGTCGCGGGAAGCTAACGTGTAGCTAGCATCATGTAACTGATTAATAACAAATATTAATATGGAATACTGGAGACAGTGCAACAGTGAGCATTTCATGTGGTGGAAAGAATAGAGCGACAGTCAAGATAGCAAGTTTTATACGGGACCTGAAAAACGTCGACCGGACGGCTGAATAGTTGATTTAAAGCTCATTACCGGGCTAACTAACTATTCACATACACGTGACACATAGCCGGTTAGGTTCTGAAGAAACTCACTTCGGTGTTTTCTCCTTGCCTCCACACCACGCACTCCCGACAAAGTCACGTCAAACACACTGGGCGTTGGCTTTTTTAAAGGGACAGTACACACAACAGTATTTCAAGATTTCATTCTGATCAGTGTAAATACAGTACAGTATGTGGGTTTGATATTAATTTTTCAACGCCCTCAAAACCCCATTTCAATCACCACCAATTCATGCATAGCCCGAGTAGATACAATATTCTTTAGTAAACAGTGGGCGCGACCCTCTGCGGGGCACTGGAAATCCGGTGGTGTTATTTCAACAACAGAGTGTTAATTTTAACATCAACAGTGTCTACTGTAAATGCATCCACACTACCCAGTGTTAAAATCCAATTTGCTTAAGTGCTACATGTTCAATAGCCAATAGTGTGTTCGAGCAACAAAATACATGTTGACAGCACAGCAGTGTACCTGAATGAGCTTATTGAAACTAGACCTCAAACTCATTCATATTTTGGGCACAAGGGCGTGGCTCTCACTCGACCATGCGACAATGTGTGACGTTACACAGTCTTAACTGGTTTCAACTAGGTATGTGTGCAAGGGTGCAGATAGAAAGGAAAATGCCGAGCCAAGAGAAAAGGTCAAATTGACACAACAGCCTTTGCACAAGTCACATGCCTACCTACATATGAGCCCAAGAAGACTAATTTAACAGTACCCAAAAAAAATAAAAATAAAACTCCTGACTTAGGTACCATCTCCAAGCTTTTACAGAGCTTCAGACTATTTTAAAAAAATTGGCAGCGCAGTGGCCCCTAACCTGAAATTTTGAGGTCGCAAGTAGAAAATGTAGGGGCGCACACTGTAAATCGACTTGTCTTCACATTTCCGCTCATTTTTACTTAATTACTCATAAATGGGCTTAAGTGTGGAGCAGGAATTTGTCAGCAACAAAAAAAAAGAATCATAAAGAAAAACAATCTGCAAAATAAACTGGTTGCACATGCGCGACTATGAAAAATCTTCTCAAATTTTAGGGGCCACTATATTTAGCTGGGTGTTTTGGATCATTATGATTTTGACAGACCCATGACTTGCAGCTGAGACGAAGCTGGCTGACACCAGGAAGCAAATTTTGCTCCTTGCTAGTCTTTTGTTTTCTTTGTACCCTGCACAGATTCAAGACACCTCTTTTGTTTCAGAGTCAGTACATTGGCCTTCCCACCCAAACTGTTCTCACAAAGGGTGGAAGCATACAATTGACCAATATGCTCCTTGCCTGATAGTATGCAGTAACAATGTGATGCAGGGGCAACTAAGCAGTTTCTCCCAGCCTGAATCATTCCATAACCAAAGAGGTGTGCCCCAGGACTTCCATGTAAAATAGTTTAGAACTAAAACCATTGATTATATTATACTAATTTCAACATAATCCCTGAGGAATAGAATTGGTAAATATCATCCAGGGTTGTCATGATCTATTTTTCAGATAATTCTCAAGTGTTAAATGCTTCAGGGCAGAAATGAAACCTGAAAAACAGAAACCCGGGAATTGAACATCAAGTCTTGTTAACTCAGTGATGTCAATATCGAAATGAAAGTGAAAGAGAAGATAAATTATTTGCAGGATAAATTTTGGGGTGTCTCTTAAAGATCTCGAAAGCATATTATCTCAACCTTGGCTTCTCCAGATAACTTTGCTACGAACAGGAGAAACTCATCATTGGCCTTTCCTGCAGCCAGTAAACAACTTTTCAGTCAGAAGACTGTCAGGCAATGATTGAAAAGTTCTGTGCTGAGCTTTTATCTGCAAAATCACCAAAGTACAAATCTGACCTACATTTTACTTAAAAATTTCAAGAAAGCATCGTGGACTACTGGGTTATTTTTGCTGCACCCAGTCTCATCACAACACGGTGCACAGAAGTAAAAATTAGTGACGGACATGAGCCTGATTACATTTGCCATTCTTGTTTCCCTCATGGACTCCACATTCTCAAAGTAAAGAAAATTAAATGTCAGACGCCTGCTTAGAGTATCTTTTGAAAAGAGATGATTATCTGATGAAAGGAGGGAAACAACTGAAAGGTCCTCAAATTCATGTTGAATATGGTCATCCTTCAATATGATTACACCACATCTGAGAGGGAAAAAAACAGATACAGCTGTTCTTTGAAGTGATATATTCTTTACTTTCATTTGTGGGTTTTTCGGTGCATTTGTCTGGTAATGTAAAAGAGCAAGGTTACTAGTACCATGTGCCACTTCAACTACAAAATGATAGATGCAATAATACAACGAGAAATCTGCAAATAAAGGCTGTCCAGTAATAGCAGAATGGCTTATCGGCAAACCCAACAATAGGAAAAAGCAGGGGAGAAAGTGAGTGGTGTTTTGAGAGGGGCAGCTGGTGTGTTTCCTTGGTTGTGATCGTTCTTGCTGCTATTTTGGGACACACTCAGGAAGTGATGTACAGACAGGCTGCTGATGGAGAAGGCACAAGCAAACACGGCTCAACCAAAACAAGTGTGACTGAATCTCCCGGGGTGCCCACTGGGTGGATGACAAACAAAGGAGAGGAACTTTATGAAAATGACACACCTCAAGGATTCTTCACTAAATATATTTTGGTTTTTTTGAGTGTCGGCTTTAGCAAACTGCAATCAAATGTATTTTACCCCTAACAATGACTATACAGCAGACCGAGCTCAACCGCGACTCGGTAACTTTTGTGCTTGTCCCATGGAACTAATTGTGTTCGGGATGGAATGAATCGTGCGTGGCAGACTTGCGGTTGACTTCCTGTTTTTTTTTTTGCAAGTGAAAATTAGTATTGTTTTTTGCAACACACCTCCTGTGTCGCCTTTCCTATGGCACCACCATACAGTATTTTGTTTTATTGACCTAAAATGGCAATTAAAGTTTGATATTTAATGTGTCTCACCCTACAAACAATTCTCGTAAAGTGAATTGTTTGTAGGGTGAGACAGCTTATCGGAACAAGAGCTTTTAGCACGCACGTGTAAACAATGCACAATACCTGTATGCAGTGATGGGAAAAACGGCATTATAAGTAACGGTGGTGTTGTGTTTTTTTTTCAGCAATACAACATCGAACTACCGTATTTTCCGCACTATAAGATTCTTCGATTATAATACGCACCTTCAATGAATGGCCTATATTAAAACTGTTTTCATATACAAGGCACACTGCATAGTAAGGCACATAGAATAGAAGCCACAATCGTAGGTGCGCTTGTGTTATGCATCCACTAGAGGGAGCTACGCTAAATGGAATACAAGACAATACAGCTTTATTTATAGACAGCTTTGACAACTGGCTGCAGCTGTAACAAATGCTTTACAGAACATTTGCGTCTTAGAAATCAGATTGACCTTGATCCATATATAAGGTCAGCCATCTCGTTACCTCTGCGTCCCGCGTCCTAGACGCACAATTTTCCCACGGGACGCACAGTTCCAAATATTGTGCGTTTTTGGGACGCAAGGAAATTTAGCAGTCAAAACAAAAAAATAAAAAAACTACGGCAGGCCTGAGGATTTCACGGTAACGATCGTTACCGGTAGCTTGTCGTTTCCGTGGCGTCATTTTGACGGTACCGAAAAATCGTTTAACCATAAAAGTCACCGCACACGAATTGACTGTATGCGATCAAATCTCTCCTGTGTGATCAACGCAATTTCACTGTGCCTGTATGTGTGTTTGTGATGTTGTGTGTGAGTGTGTTTCTTCTAATTTGCTATTTTAGTCCGCAAACTAAGGAACCGCGCGGATGACAGTTTGAGATGGCGGCGAAAACAACACACAAAGGTCTACTAATTACGACATTTAAGAAATGGGAATGCCAGTCTGATTTTTCGTATGAAACGTCCGAAGGGCGTATCACTAATCTCACCTGTGATGTATGCACAGACCACGAGAGCGAGATATGACGTGAGGCACGATTACGAGGCAAGTGGATCATTACGTCTATAGGCTAAGCGCTATGAAAAATATGATGAAACAGTATTCGTTATTCTATAATTTACTGGTTGTAGCATGGTAACTTTATGAATAACACATTCATCACGAGGTGTATTAATGCTTGTTAACTGTTGGTAGAACTAATGATGACTTGTGTTAGATCCTTTCGTCAAATTGATAGATAACACATGCATCGACTTGGGAAGAGGATGTCAAGCCACGTCAATACTTACCTGTATTAATGATTACCAGTAAATTAATCTTTGCAGTGTGAGATTGGAAAAACTACTCTGATTTTGTGGTATGCTGTATTCAGGATGCCATATGAGTACACTATATTTTCATCCATTTTTTTTACTAAACCTGGAGTACACAGCTGCTGATGTAATGTTCATTGTTAATGTATAGTTTTAAAACATTTAAAACATTATACTTTTCAGTTTCAGAATGCTTGATTATGAATGTCAGTCAAAATAGAAAAATGGGTTGAACGTTGACGGAACCCAAAATTAGTTACCGTGGTTTCTCATTGGGTAATCCGACGGAACCGAAAAACGGTTACCGTGAATTTCCGAAATCCTCAGGCCTGCTACTGAATTATTTAAATTTTTGCAGCATTTGTTTATAATTGTATGTATATGTTGTTGTTTGTGTTATTATCATATGCAATTGAATAAGTAGACCGTTTCAGAATTCAAAATTTTGGACTCTCTAAATGCATAATGGGACTCACACTTTTCTGATCAGCGAGTCCCTGGGACTTGCTGGGGGTAAACTGTAAAATTATCACTGTAAGGTGCATTGGGTTATAAAGCGCATTGTCGGTTTTTGAGAAAATTGAATGCTTTTAGGTGCACCTTCTAGTGCGGAATACACGGTAATTAATTTTCAATCAAGATAATGCTGTTACCATTTCTGCCAAATTATGTGGTGCATTACTTCAAATATTAGATGAATAAAGATGTTTTCATCAGATCAGTGAGATCCTTCTCACAGAGACTTTTTTTTTTTAACCTTTTTTTTGCATGCAGTTTTTTTTTTCTTCCCATTCTTCTTCATGACTGTGCGGGAGAGAATCACCGAAGTGATGATGATTGACTGAGCTATTGTCAATCATTGTGAGCTGTTCAGAGGTAGAGTTGAGCAAGCTAAAATTACTTGACCTGGTAAGTAATTACATTTATGAAGGAGTGATCAATAACTAATAAATTACCTTTTTGGGGAAAGTAAAGAGTGAGTAACTAACTACCTTTTAAGATACTGCAAAACACAGAAAAAAAGATGAGGATGGTGATGGTGGGGGTGAATTACTGCAATTGGGTACAAAAGACCTGATTGCACAGCAAAGTGCAAGAGCCACATTGATGGTGGTGGGGGCGGCCTGCGTTGGTAGTTAACATTGCCGCCTTGTAGGCCAAGGTTCGCGGTAAGCGCTATGCTAGGTTAGTTGCTACTTGCCAAACCCAGCACAATGTGTGACAGTCCACTCAGGTGGGAATACGAACAAATGAGTCAATTGATTGTCGCGAACTAGGATGATAGTGTGTTATTGGAGATAGATTAATCAAAACCAATAGGCTGCAACCCTCAGAGACATTGTGATTCAATCTGAACCAGATTGTCACCTGAAAAACAACAGCATGTGTAGGAGACTGGACTGTTTCAGAATTGTCTGTTATTTATTCCTTTGTTGTGTGTTCACAACCCCCCCCCCCCCCCCCCCCAAAATTATTTTGTGATTTCCTCGCTGGGTTTTCTGTTTTGGTGCATTATTTTTTATTTTCTTAGTGTCATTGAAGCTATCGTTAATTTACGTTTTTTCTGAGGCGGTCTCTCAAGCAGAACGGCAGAAGAGAAGGCACATAGTCGGACAGAGACGTGTCTGTATTTGTTTGAGAGTGTTAAAAGAATTAATAAAGTGTACGTTTTAAAAAAAACCAACACTACAGCTCTCTTTGTTTCGGAGCTGTAACACACGGCACACATGTTAATGCTTCCATCCACGTCAGCCTACGCAATGGTGGCAGTTCCTCTGCTCAATACTAGCATGGAAAGAGGAGATCAGAACATTCAGACAGAGATCTTCCAACCCTCAGTTGTCATGGTTTACACTCGGGGTGGAACAGTTCACAAAATCTAAATCTCGGTTTTGTGGCCGTGGTTCCGTTTACATTGACTCTCAGCAAAATCAATTTTGCCTTGCAGTGTTTAGAGTAAAAGTGGAAGAGTCAACACAGGAAGTAACAGCATTATTATCAGTTAATTGTATTGTTGCTACTGGGCCATTTTAAAAAGTATATATTTTACTCCTTATAAAAGTGTCTTTGTCTTATTTATGCTAGTGGCGTATGCTGACATGCAGAACAAATAATTGCTCTTCACTTGGATGGTATAATCAACCTATGTTTTCAACTATTGCGATTCATACAAGAGAATAAGTCAGGAGCCCCTGCAAATGTCAGTTATGTGTTCAATTAAAAAAGTCCAGAATTTACACGAAGTGTATTTGAGATTAAATTGAGAGCAGATCAATATTTCACTAATAATACTTTTGAAAAATATTTTTATTGTGAGTACTAACACTAATATGTATTATTCAGGAGAGTATTTAAGTCTTATGTGGTGCACAAAATACGGCTGGATGATCATCATAGCCTCATATCTATTCATCCCTGCATATTGATAGGGTGGCACTGTGGTCAACTGGTTAGCACGTTCAGCGTAGGTTTTCTCCGGGTACTCCGGTTTCCTCCCAGATTCCAAAAAACATGCACGGTAGCTTGATTGATCATTTGAAATTTTCCATAGGCGTGATTGTGATTTCAAATGTTTTTTTGTCGATGTGTGCCCTGCGTTTGGCTGGCAACCAATTCAGGGTTTACCCTCCTACTGCCCGAAATCAGCTGGGATAGGGTCCAGCACGCGCGTGACCCTTGTGATGAAGTGGCTTTTTTTTTTTTGTCAAGTACTAATATGTATACAAATATATCTCTGACATTTTTATTCTGCTACATCCACACCTTTGATGTCTTGCATCTTTGCATTACATATATTAAAGCCTTGAATAAGCATTACCCTAATCTCTTTATCATATTAATTTTATCTTGTTATTTTCACACATATTGGGCCTCACTGGGCTAACCTGGGGATTGTATTTTCTGCCATGTCATGTGGAAATGTGTAATGGTATGAGAGAAAAAAAAGTAATTGTATCTTTGAATCATTGCATTTGGAGAAAAAGGAAAATTCCTTGAATCCTTCAAAACTCACATTTAAATATAACTTGAAAGGACAATCAGAAAATAAATAAAAACAAATACCAGCTGTTCCTGCACATTTTGGCCTCTTTGGTTTCTACATGACTACACTACACTTGATCTAGGCCAAAAGGCCGAGATTGAACTCGATTAAAATAACTCGTTTTTCACAGACTGGGAAGGATTTATGCCTCTAGTAGTGTTATGTTAGCTGCGCGTATGTTTTTCCACAGCGTTGGTGTATGAATATTCATTATTTGAAGGAATATCACTCCCGACAACGTATGTAATAATTTTTATGGTGTTTATTTTTACAGTAAACTCTAAATGGGATGTCGAGCAGCTGAACGGACGGCAAAATCACATACACTACACGTTTGTTAAGCAAGCAACTTGGTGCATTTGGCGTACATTCACAATGTTTGCAACTTTTACACGTACCACACCCTTCTGCACATTGTTTTTCTTCAATTATGTTACATTTTAAAGCTCGAGAGAAGCCAAAATCGAAATCATCATTTCAATTTTAATTAACCGTCCGGCCCAAGCACATCGACTGACGTGTTTATGCGACATTATCGATTTCAAATGAGCTCTAATTTCTCCAAGACAAGCTCTTTCAGGCACACCTCAGGAAAAACAAAAATGGCCATCCGTTGTTTGCGATCTGGGCATAAGACTAGAAAACAGAAGCGACATAAAGGATCTCAGGCAGGTGAGGATTCAGAAGTGACGCGGGATAAGCACAAGGCCCGCTCCACCACTGATCGCCATGGTCAAGTGATATTTGTGTTGGCAACCCCGCAGAGGAGTTGAGGGCGAGAGGGCGGTGGCTCAGTTGCATGAGACAGGACAGCATCTAACCCAGTGTTTCTCAAATAG